TCTCATCTGTAAGATTTTTCTAAGAAAAGAGTATGTGTTTGTGATTTGAAAGGGGGGGGGGGAAGATTGCTTTGTTTTTACACTTCAACCAATTTTTTAGACAATATTGGAGCATTACAATATGAAAGACACACGATGCATCTTACCGTTCTTGGTTCAAGGCACGAATGACAAGCAATGCCACCTCAAAGTGTAAGGAAAGATTTTCCAAGCATTACTGAATGACTGGAAGCCCACTGCAGTAAGAGAGGGTTAGCAAGCTTGCTAAAGCAGCTTGTCTGGAGCAGCCACCAGACTAGACCGGCACCTAGACCAGCCAGAGTGAGTTATTCTGGCCCAAACCTGGATCTATGCTGCCCTTTATCCCCAAGGGACTTACAAATCTACCCACCATCACTTGGCTTTATGCAACCAGCTACACGAATATGAACATCCAGCCACATAATCAGGCAAGTCCTTCCTCCTTTGTTTCAGACCTAGCTGTTTGCCCAACCACCAAGACATCTGGCTTCATTTACAGGTCTAATGGAAAAAATAACCCTAATTTAGGAGAAAAAGAAGTCAGAAGGGAAGCTGAATCAACTCAGCTTGCAGCTGTGCTGTCACTAGATGAGACGCAGGGAGGGAAGCATCACTTTCAGGCTCACCTCTCACTGACAGAAAGCCACCCCGTGTCCCTCCCTGGATGTGTTGTGCAATCACGTCCCTAGACACGAGAGACAGGGCTGCATGCAATCTCTGATGCTTCCAGAAGAGGACAGCTGTCTCACCCCACTTGTATTATTGGGCACTGCTCACCTCATCCTTCACCAGAACACCTCCCTCCGTCCCCTTTACACCAAACTGATCCCTTAAAGGAAAGCAAACAGTTCTTTTTTAGAGTAATTATAATAGCAAATCATTATGTCCATGTCTTATGACAACAGAGGGATAAGAATATAGCTCAGCCTACCCATTCCTGTCAGAACATAAGAGAAAACCCCCTAGACTAGCTATGGTCTTGCTTTTCCTGCTTGCAGCTCCAAAGTGGGCTAGTTGGCAGCAGCCTGGAAAAGCAAAGAGGAAAGAAAAAAGACTGTGCCAGTTCACAGGTGTTAGGTACTCATAACAGTACCCTGGACATACAGAGATACAGAAATTTGAGTAAGATCATCTGAGCTGCAGGAGAACTCCTCTATCTTATATACAAACCAACAACATTCAAAGCAGTGGGAAAAAGCTGAACTCCTTCAAGTATGTTAAGTACCTATTACCTATTTTCTCAAAAGGGAGAGGAGCCTGAAGATGGAATCTGCTTGGCCAAGCAGAACAAGCACATCTTTGCCAACTGGCTGAACAAAGCAGAACAAAAATGTCTTTGCCATCAGGCTGGCCAGAACTGCACAAGGCATGAGCAACCCAGAAGTTTCTAGAGTGCATTGATAACTTAACACTGCTGACTAAGGAACCAACATGGGAACCTTGCTGGATCTCATACTTACAAACAAGAACTGGTCAGGGATGTGAAGGTCAGGGGCAGCCTTGGCTGAAGTGACCTGAGTAGTGTTCAGGGCCTTTGAAGAAAAAGCAATGGAAAAAGCAGGATCATAACCCTGGACTTCAGGAGAGCAGACACTACCCTGTTCAGAAGAATCCCATGGGATATGGCTCTGGGGAGAAGAGGCAAGTACCTTGTGACAAAAGATGTGGAAAAGCTGAAGGTACTCAATGCTTTCTTTACCTTGGTCTTTACTGGAAAGATCTGCCTTCAGGAATCTTGGTCCAAGGAAAGTCTGGAGCAAGGAAGGCTTCTCCTTGGCAGAGCTCAAGGAACACTGGACATTCCCAAACCACTGGGTCCTGACAGGATGCACTCAGCAGTGCTGGTTGATGACACTGTGAGGCCACTCTTGGTAACCTCTGAAAGGTCCTGGTGAATGTGGATGTTCCTGACGACTGGTAGAGAAATGGGCCAACAGGAACATCAGCAAGTTCAACACACAGAAACGCCAATCCTACAGCTGGGAAGAAATAACCCCAGACATCAGTACAGACTGGGGGCCACCAAGTATAAAAGCAACTCTGAGAAGAATGACGCTGGGGCTTCTGGTGTGCACCAAGCTGGCCACGAGCCAGCAGTGTGCCTTTGTAGCATGGAAGACCATCAGAGTCCTTGGCTGTATTTAGGAAAAGTGTTGCCAGCAGGTTGAAGGAGGTGATCCTGCTCTGCTTAGTCCTTGCGAGACACATCTGGTGCTGGGTTCAGTGCTGGGCTCCCCCGTATAAGAATAGATATGGGCATACTGGAGCAAGCCCAGTGAATGGCAACAAAGATAATTAAGGGACTGGAGCATCTGTCACACCAGGAGAGGCTGACAGAGCTGGGACTGGTGAACAGAAGGCTCGGGGAGATCTTATCCATATGTATAAATACCTTATAGGGAGAGAATAAAGACGACTGAAACAGACTTCTCAGTGGTGACCAGTGACAGTACAATAGGCAGTGAGCACTAACAAAAATAGAAGAAATTTTGTCGAAACATAAAAAAAACAAAAAAAAACAAAAAAAAACAACTTCCTTATAGTGAGGGCATTCAAACACTGGCCCAGAGGACATGTGTAATCTCCACCCTTAAACACATCTGAAACCCAACTGGACATGGCCTAGAATTGACACTGCTCCATGCAGGGGACTGGACTGGAAAACCTCAATAAGTCCCTTCCAAACTCAATGATTCTATCATATAAAGTTGGTGAAAAAGAAGTAAAGAGCTGTTAATTGGGTTCTTAGGTATAGGCTAAATCAGTTAATTAATAGTTTTTCTATTTCAAGGCCCCATAGCATGCACCGGATGGACTCACATTTGGCCCATTTTATGTAGGCAGTCAAGGAAGTAACTGAGAATAGGAAGTCATAGCCTTATTCAGGTAATAGTTGAATAAACATCAGGAAAAAGTGACTGATCTGGAGCTACTGGAATCTGTTGGGTGCAGTTAATGGGAGTAGTTGCACCTAAGTTCAGGCATCACGTCTGAACTAACACACAAGTGTTTTGGATTTCTGTAAAAGGCAGTTCAAATCCATTTTAGCATCAGAACAGCGTTTGTTCAACTGGACATAACTCCTTTACAACTCAAGTCAAACAAGACTACGAATGACTCATCACATAGAAAAAACTAGGAATGCCCCATTTAGAAAGAAGTACTACAGAGTCACAGAATATCCTGAGTTGGAAGGGTCCCACAAGGACCATTGACTCAAACTCCTGGTTCCACACAGGAGCTCTCAAAAATCACACCAGACATCTGTGAGCATTAACCAAATGCCTCTTGAACTCCTTCAGGCTTGGTGCTGTGACCACTGCCCCAGGGAGCCTGTCCCAGTGCCCGAGCACCCTCTGCGTGCAGACCCTTTCCCTAACCCCCAGCCTGACCCTCCCCTGTCCCAGCTCCATGCCGTTCCCTCAGGTCCTGTCGCTGTCCCCAGAGAGCAGAGCTCAGCACCTGCCCCTCCGCTCCCCTCGTGAGGGAGCTGCAGGCCGCCATGAGGCCTCCCCTCAGCCTGCTCTGCTCGGGGCTGAGCAAACCAAGGGACCTCAGCCGCTCCTCATATGTCTCTGGACCCTTCACCATCTTTGTAGTCCTCCTTTGGATGCTCTCTAATAGTTTTATGTCCTTCTTGTATTGTGGTGCCCCAAACAGCTCGCAGTACTTGAGGCTGAGGCGGCACCAGTGCAAGCAGAGTGGGACAATCCCTCCTGTCGACTGGCTAGCTTCATGCTCCCCTGGCTACCAGGACACACTGCTGGCTCATTCAATTTGCTGTTGACCAAAACACCCAAATCCCTTTTGTCCCCAAGCCTGTACGTACAGGCAGGGTTGCTCCATCCCATGCACAGAATCCATCTCTTGCTCTTGTTGAACTTCATACTGTCGGTGATCGCCCATTTCTCTCATTTGTCAAGATGTCTCTGCAAGGCCTCTCTACCTTCAATGAAGTCAGCAGCTCCTCCCAATTTAGTACCACCTGCAAGCTTACTCAAAACACCTTCAAGTCCTTTTGTCAAGTCCATTTATGAAAACATTAAAGAGAACTGGCCCTAAAATGGAGCCCTGGGAAACCCCACTAGCGACATACAGCCTTTATCCCACAAGAGTCTTGCACCAACTTTTATTGCTATGTTAATATAACCACATTAGTTCATTAGGAGACTAAAAATGTCCTTCTAAACTCTGCTGCCAGTAATCAGATAATCCCTATGAATTACCTAATTAGTTACTAATCAATTTGTCACTTAATCATTTACATAGCCGTAAAAACCATCTCTGAGCATCTCTCTGCCATTTCCTTCTCTCTAATCACTGAGGAAACACAAACCTCCTGCCTCCCCCCAGACACGTCTCTTGCTGTGCACCTAGACGAGTGGGGTCAGAATGGGTGACTGCTGCAGGTAGGTGCATCTCCCACAGGCACGTCAGTGAAAGTCTAAAGATGCAGTTATCTCAGAATTTAACAGTAAAGTCTAGCTCCAAATCTGATAACCCACACTCAGATTTTACAGATAGATCACTTATCACATGAACCTACCGAGGAAAAGTATCCCTTAAACCACTCTCTTCTAAGTCACTTACTGTTTTATAATCTTAAAGAATCTTTACTTTGACGTCTTGTAAGTAACCGGATACAGCAATTACTCATAGCAATGGTGCCTAATAAGGATTTTTTTTTAACTATATCAGAAGTTAATTGACTGGCAGTGGGAAGGAGAGATTTGATAGCTGTGTACACAGGGAGATTGACATAGTTAACCTACAGTTATTTTAACAGCAAGTACAAACCACTGAACTCTTAAAGACCTCCAGCCTTATTACAAGATCGGCACACTGTGTGGTTGAGGAAGAAGCTTGCAAAAGAACCTGCACACAGTTTTAGGCAATTATACAGAACATCAGTGCTTGAACTGGACAAGGTAATTCTGTTTCCATTTAAAAACAAAAGGAAAAGCTTCATGGTCACATACCTCATTGCAACATTGCTGCCATCAATAACTATTGGCCTCAGGTTGTCACCATCCTCCATCACATCCTCCTGCAGCGGAGATTCTGACCTCTGAGACTCTATGGAAGACGCTTCACGCATTATACTAGTGTTAGCATTAGTTACAGACTGATCAGTCTCAGTTTTATTCCCAAGTTTGACAAGTTCTCCCAAAATATCGTTTATTAAAGCATCAGTACCAAGTTTATTTAGTACAAGTTGAACCTGCTCTTCAGAGTAACCCAACTTAAGTGCAAACTCCAGTTTGGTTTGATATTCTTTCACCACATCAGGGGGCTTTTTGACTTCCTTCGGTACTATCTGAGCCTCTTCTATCCTAAAGTCTTGCAAGATTTCATTTCTTTTTAGAATATGAGGCTCTAAGCAAGGAGATCGGCACAGCTGTCGGTGAGTCTTAGGCAATAAATGTGATTCTGATGCAGAATTATTCAGTTTCTCTGAATCATTATCAGAATTTGTGCTTTCTTCAGAGTCACAACTGGAGCTTCCTGAAGTCTCTTCAGATGCCTCCTTGACTACATCTTCTTTCCTAGAATTAACCTTATCCATCGTTGGCTTCTCCGCCATCGACCAAGGTACAATTGCATTTATTTGTGTGCCAGTGCTCCCCACATAAAGATGGCCTAAGTCATGCCCCAGGTGATCCTTCAAGCCCATGAAGCTGCTGCATGTACTTGACTCCACTTTGCTGTTTTTCTTGTATTCCTGAATATAAAGTGTTCCGTATTCCTGAAGAGAGAACAAAAATGTTGCAACTGGTTACACATCTTACTTGTTTTGTATTTTCTTCCTGCTTCCTTGGAACTGCACTTACTGTCTCCCAGAAATGAAATATGACTTATTTTTTAAACATGGAAAACTTTTTTTGGGAAAAAACAACAAAAATTAATAAGGAATAAATGTAGGTAAGCTGACTAACAACTGTTTTCCGAATGTATGAAATGCTTTTACTTAATCATTTCTAGAAATGTAAAAGAATAGGAAAGTTTATATAGTTTATGAAAATAAATAGTTTAATGAAAGAATAGTAAACCAAACAAGTTTTTTTATTGTAAGTCGGAATTCGTCAAGAGCTAAAGGTACCTAGGTATTTCTTCTAACTATAGACAAAACTGCAACAACAACAAAAAAATGCACCTATACAAGTACTATAAAAACCTTTTAAACTAAGTAGCTTAGATTCTCTGTTGAATAGAAATTAGCATAATACTAGATTACCTGGCTTATTAGGCAAATAGAAGACACTAGCATAAACAAAAGTTATTAGTAACATAAAAATAAGAAACTTATTGGCCCTAAAATACACTATCGGTTAAACTAAATACACTCAAGCTATTTCTGAACTCTTTCATAAAGTGATAATTAAGTGAAGAAAGGCTAATTGCTCTCAGAGTACTGCATTGCTAACATATATAGGATGTAGAGGCATGGATTGATCTAATGGCCAATAAAGCCAATGGAAATCCTTGCACTGATCACACCAGGCTATTCATCAAGCCAGTAAGGCAATGAAATTAAATGCTAATTTCAACTCTTGGACTTGACTTGTGCAAGCCTTTTGCTGGATCAAACTAAATATATCGAAAGAAGTCACATAGGAAGAATGGAAAAAAAAAAGTTGCAGTTTTCTGGACTTTGTACACTTGCTGCACCAGTTTTTCTGGAGGTATTTCGTATAACAGTTATACAGAAGTTAGCTGCCCATTTCATCACAAAGATTACTTCCACAATCTATACTTCTAAAGATAGCTTGCGACCTCTTTCCCGTATTTTGTTCTTTTAGAAGAATTTAGATGGGAATTTTTACTAACTGCTTCAACTAAAAAAGGAAAAGACTTCTCATAAATGACAACGGTCAATATGAAGCAATTGTGCTGCAAGGTTACGATAAAATAATAATAAAAAAAACATCAAGGGAAGACTATGAAATAAAGAGTTCGATCACACTTCATCTTACAAGGCAGAATACAAGAGTAAGATGTAGACTCAAGGGATTTCACTTGAACTTGACAAAGACAGTACAGACACAAACTTCATTAAAGAAGTTATATTGAGAAAAAAACATTATGCTAAGCAGAATCCCTTGATCTACACTAATACAAGTTACTGATACATCCCACAAAGAGCCAACATCTCTGACAGCAAGTACATTAACTCTCCTATTTCCTTACAGGGGAGCATTTAAGAATAACCCAGTGTTTTTTAAATACAGTGTACGTTCTTCTTCTAGGGATAAAGATCTGGGTGCACATGAGCAATTCATCCAGGCTGGCCTTAAGACTAAAGGGAATCAACCAAGGAAACCAGCCCCTGATTTAATCACAGAGCATCCCAAAGGCACTTAATGCTAAGATATCATTGCTGGGGTGGAGATTTCATTAACTGAATAAAAAAAGTTTACCTGAGAGTTTTTAGTTATAATACATAAAAAAAAATCACCAGAAGCATTTCTGTATCCAGTGCCATAATCTGGTTAAGACGGACCACTAAAAATATTCTACTTTGAAGTTTTATTTTGATCTGGCTATTAGAAGGGAGTAAGGCCACAACATTCTCCCAAACAGCTTATCAAGGAACATTACGTTCCCTTAACTTGAAGTTTTAGGATTTCAAACCATACCACAGATCAAACACAACAAGAAATTAAGAGATGAACCTATCCAACCAGTGATTTAGTAACTAATGTAATGCACTCGATAGCACAGTGATAGTAACAAATCACAGCGATATCCCAATAAAAGGATACAGTTAGAAAACCCAACGGTGTGGCCTTCATGGGACTGACCCCCTTCCCAAAAAAACAACAACAACAAAAAACTCAAACAAGGAAAACCTATTGGAAGCAAGGCTGCTAAGCAACAAGCCCTTAGTTGCTAGGATGCGCTCCTTTAACATACCATCATGAATACTAGCACGGCAAAAGAATAATTTGGTATGAACAAAAGCCCATGAAAAAGAGTGGGACTTAAGTGCGTCTGGTTTCCCCTCGGAGAACAATGCAGCTGCCAAACCAATCTGGAAGGCCCGACATCATTGTTCCCCAGCCGCAATCTGCTCTGACTCGAGGAAGTCCAGTTAATGGGCAACACTGAAAAGTTGAGCTGGCTCATGTACCGCCGCCGCAGAATGCGCTCGGATAATGGGTCGCTGCCTAAATCCGTGTACTGTGAAATGTCATTTTAGCACTCAGCTAGGAGGAGAGAGAGGCTGGGTTTTGTTTTTCCTTCTCTCCCCCCCCTTGGAAGTGTGTGGGGGATGAGGTTGGATATTAACAGCATGGCATAAAGAAATCTTGAAGTGCCTCGATCACCAGGAGGATTTTGTTTGCTTAGTGTTAAAATAACACTTAAGTCGTTTTCCAATTCCTTCTTCGCTGAAATTTGAGTGCCTCACAGCAACTACAGTCATAACACCCTCCAGTGTGATTAAAAAACCTCATTGGCATATGAATATATCCGAAGATCAGACCTAATACGGAGCATAGTTGAGATGATTTGCACATCAACTACATACAAAAAGTGACCACAAGTTGAGCTCCGTGCATTGTTGGGAATGTATATATCACCCCCCCAGCACGAATCTGCTTTAAGTCTCCCCCGTCTCTCAAGTGTAGTTCAGATGAGGCATCCACTGCAAATCCCAAACTGAAGATTTCTGAAATAGTTGTGCTTAACAAGCAGTGTGCTATTCCTGGCATTTGGCCTATACCCTGCATGCAAACTGTACTTGTTTTCAGACCAATTTTTGCAACATCCGTGAACTTTGCACACTGTATTTGTGGTCAGCAGCATCTCTCTGACATGCTGGCCTTGGGAGCTCCCAAGGTGATGTCCCTTACAAGAGCCTTCATTAGAACCATGAAAATCAGATGTCACTGTTAAATGCTGCTGGAGTTGATTATTTTATCTTGACCTGGTTAGCGAGGAGCAACATGCCAGAATCTGTTTTTTTGGAATTCAAATTCATTCAAGCACTAGTGTACCTAGATACAGCACAATGAAGGTCAAAAAAAAAAAAAAAAAAAAAAACAAACAGAAAAGGTCACATTTATTCAAGGAGTAACATCAGATACGAAGAACTCCTTACACTCTTTATTTACAAGGAACTCTCATTATGCACATAAGGTTTTGAAGTATGTGTGCTGATACAATGCAATATAGATAACAAAAACATCCACTATGAGTTCTGACTTGACTGAGTGCCAAACAAGCAAACAAAACAGCCAAAAAAAATCGTGTCAAGAAAAGTCTGCAACTTTTGGTTATGCTGAGTAATATAACATGCTTTTATGTGTAAAGAAAAAAAAATTGTCCAAATTGGGGGTTACCAATTTAATTATAGTTACAACAATGTAACTTTTAAGAACAAACTACAGCCTGTTTGAACCTAGAGCATCTCATGCTAGATTCACTGATAATGGCCCAAAATATTGTACTATTGAGTCATTTATGAAGCATAAATGTAATATGTTGGATGAGAACTGTGCTATTACATTGTAGAATTGCATTCCTTTTTCATTTCCATTTTCATCCACTGTTCTCCACTAGCTGTTAACAACAATCAACTCATTAATTCACAGAATATTTCCATTTCTCAGAGGAATGTGGGCAAAGAGATCATCTAATCTTTTAATGCATATTCTGAATATTATTCACTTACAACTGAACATAAGAAAAGTAGTTTAATGCAAATTTCGTTCATGGAGGAAAATAACAAGGAGCAAATGGCATGTCTTGTGGCAAAGTACCAGAAATTGTGTATTCTCAAAAGAATTCAAGAGTTTCTGAAGATGCATTCTACAGTGAAATAGATCATCTTGTTTTCACACAGGAAGTTTTTTTCTAAATCTTCTAAAAAGAAAATGGGAAATATTGAAATCACAGTTTGTTGAAACACTGTAATCACTTGTCACAAAGAAGTGCATAGCTGATCAGGAAAGAAAAAATGAACGTGTGTTACTCAAATCGTAAAGATACTGCAACAATGCAAATAAAATAATGAATATGTAATAAATACCTACTGCTGTAGTTTCTATGTATTTAATTACCATTGTATTTCAGCGAGTGCTGTTGTCTGCATCATTCCACCCAACAAAGGAAGGATGTCCCATTGAACAGATTGGTTAATGCTCTGGGGCAACAGATGTCTACTGGAACTGCAGGAGACCAGCAACTGGTGGCCTGCCCATCTTCTGAAAACTTTCAATAGACTCATGCATATGTTCACACAATAGGGCATGTGGTAGAAATGCAAACCTCTTTTTAACCCTTTTATATGCTCTCTTTCCCTCCCAACTCATATATGAAGGTCTTTGTTTTTTTGTTTTGTTTTTTTCTTTACAGGATCCTTGGAACACAGGCTCATGGAGTATATAGCGCTTGTTCTTCAGCCTAACATCTGAACTCAAAACATAAAACAAAACAGATTAGAAACTTTATAAAAATAACTGTGCTAGATTTGATACACTTATGAATAGCTTTCAAAGCACAAAAGCTTTGAATGGAACATGTTCCCACCTGAGAATATCCTAATGCTCTCACAATACAGTATCTCTGCACAGCTCACAATGGAGCTCTTCCTATTTTCACGAACAGAAAAACTTACCCATTGTACGGTACAAAACAAAAAAAGTTTTCTTTCTTCTTTTAAAAGCATTTTCTACCTCTCAGAAATTAAAATAAGCAATAGCCTACTTGCAAAAAGAACGTCAAGACCCGTAACTCAAGGTTGAAACCTTCCCTTCTCCTCAAGGGGCCAGAAGGAAATTCGTTCTATGGATGGGTACTGCCTACCATTTTCAGGTTCTTGCAAATGCACCGTTTCTACTGCTTTTAAAAGTTCCTTAACAGAATGCACTGAGCTAGAAGATGACTCTTTAATATACTTAGTCTTCAGATAGATTTTTTTTTTTTAAAGAGATACCCAAAGTGTGCAAACCTCATCTGACCCAGACGCTAGCTATGCTGTCGGAGCACAAACTGACCTGCTGGAACATCAGAAAGGCGAAGCGTCCCATTGCTGCAGAGAGAAGCCCATATACTTACGTTCGCTGGGAAACACACAGACATTGGTTTCTTGTAGCTGTTCCAGAAGCAACTCCTTAACACGATTTCAGCTGCAGACTTCAGGCTAGCGAGCAGAACAATGAATGGATGAACAGATGGACCCGCAATGTCTTTGCTTAACCTATTACTGAGCGGAAGAGGAGCCAATCACAACCCGCAGCGCTCACAATTAGTTGGCCGGGCAGATGCAAGGCAACCTCCCCACCCTGCATCAGGTTTGGAGGTTTCTAAGATAAGCAAGTTGATGTCATTCGCAGGGTCTGCCCCGGGCAGCATGTGTATTAACGAGGGGTATGCAGCAACAATAGGCCATACAAAAGAGACTAGCAGGCAGCTGCTGTATGAGAGCCAGAGTCATTAGGGAGCAGGCTGCCAACAAGAAACACCTGGCTTGGGCAGACTTCGGCTTCTCCTCATTGTTTCTAATTCATGAAACAAAGAAAAGGAATTATTTTTTAAGTAGTAAAAGTTGTGAGTTCCTATGAAATTAAAAAAAAAAAATCACTCCCGAGGAATATAATCTCTTCCATCACAGAAACTAAAAGTTTTTTTTAAGGAAAAATATTGAGGTGAAATAAATCCATCAGTAGCTATGCGTGTTCCCCTTCTCTTGTTAGCAAAATTAATCATATCGGTACATTGTGCAAGAAGCTATGAAAGGAGCCCACACTAGGCACTGAAATGTATTCAGAAACCGCTTTCTGAATTTCCTGACACTTTTGTGCATCAGTCAGTAAGTGTAATAAATTTGCATTTATACACAGCTATAACAGTACTTGTGGACATATTTCAGTTTCAGCAGAAGGCAAAACTGATTAAACTAAACTCACATAATATTAATACGTGCAATAATGCACATTTTTATGCAATGGCAGCGAAACATTAGGGCACTTGATAGAAAGGCAGCAAGAAGCACCCTTTTGTTCTGGCACCACTCCTGTTTGTAACAGAACTTCTCTCCCTGTTATTTCACAGGCCTGTTCTGGATGTCAAGATCTTTCTGCTCCTTTGCAGTGATGAAATATTTGAACAGAAGTCAGCAGCTAGGCAATAGCCAGCTTCTTGTTTTTATTTTGACTGAGGTAAGCCACAATGATAACCCAAACCCAAACTCCAGTCCTGCTCCCTGCACTGCCCAATGTTTCCAATCCAACAGGCCCTAAAACAGCAGCAAGGTTTGATGTCTGATTAAAAAAGCAGAGTCATACGGCCTTCCGAATCAGAAGCTGCCACGGCTGGTAACCTCAGCACAGGCAGCTCAGTGCAGAGAAGCACGCAGCCTTGCAGAGATTCTACATTTGCAAACATTCACCTGAAGGACTGCTGGAAGAGCAAATTTTCTGAACTTCAGCATCTGTACATGGCTGAAAGCACGACTGAAAACCACAGGGTCAGCTGTCCTCCTCCTCTGCTTGGGAAGACAGGCGACCTGCCGGGAAACTTCAGCTGCGATTTAGAAGAAGTAACGAAGGCGAACAGGTTTGTGAGGCCTCTCTGGGTGATTTCCCAGAGCTTTACGTGGATGTTAGCGATTCAAGGCAGTAAACGAAACCACACTCCATCACGCTACCACCTGATGACTTTACCATACGTCCAGATACGAAACTGAAGATCGGGACCCCCAAGTTTAGTTCCTCTGCACTGTCCACTAAACACTCCCGAGAACAACAGCCAGCACCACTATTTTGGGGCTTTTGAGTCAGCGGCAGGAGGAGACTCCTCACTAATTTCTGCCACCGTGAACACAAAGACTGAGGGAAAGCTACCCACGAGCACAGTGGGAAGCCTGATCTCCAGCACTGGATTAAGCCTCTTTGCAAACAGCGAATAAAAGCAGTGATCTGAAAAAGCTAATCAGTCCCTGCTGTGGTATTTAGACTACCTCAGTCACCGGTATTGGATAACGTTAAGCATGTTAAAACTTCTGTAGGCAAAATAAGAAGCCAGTCCACTTCCCCTATGCCCAAGATCTGCCCTTAAAAGCAAGCAGGATCACTTGGTAGTCATTAGTTTAATATCTCCCTGATTAGAGCCAGGCACTTCTTCTGTGATACCAGAAATGCCTGGTTTGGCAGAGGGCATGTGAGCCACCATTTACATGCAAACTCAGAACTTCCCAGCACAGAAGTGGTGTCCTTATGGCTCCACACACACAGCTAGGACAAGAATAGGATCGGGCTTGAAAACCTACCTTCAAAATAAGGGTGTAAGTTCTGGAAGTTTATTTGCTAAGATGGGTCCCCTCAATGTCTTCTGCAGTAGCAATAAGTATAACAAACACAAACAAACAAACCACACAAAACAAACAGAAAAACCCTACACCACAAAACAACTTCCCATGCTCCAACCGCGTGTCTTCTGGGCATCAGGTCTGAGCATCGGCTGCTGGTAAATCTTCATGCTAATGCCACGCTGCTGCCCTGACTGTGACTAAACTCGGGACAATCTCAAGACTTGTGCTATATTGTTTCATTTGCATAAAGTATTCTAACAAGCTGCAGTTGCATGAATTAAGAAAACATTTTTTGCATGATGTCAGTTCCGTGAACCAGCTGCCTGGACTCGAAGAATTCTCTCGGCTCGCCCCTGAAAGAAGCTGTGCTGCCGAAGGTTTACAAAATGTCAGATCATCCCATTAAATCATGTTTGCAATGACAGCACAGCATTCATATTAAGGTTTTAACCAGTACACTAGGCTTCCTACTGGGATTGAGGGGGTCAACAAAGAAACCTCAGTAAGAAACAATGTGGATCTCCTGTCACATCTGTGACGGGCTACAATAGAATCACTCGAAAGTACACAGCGCAAATGAACAAAGAGCTCTACTTCTTCGCTAAAACCTGCAAATCCCATAACTTGACTAGCTCAGCAACCTCCTCTTACCTCATTTAAAATACAAAGAGTCACGAAGTTAAACCCCGTCGCCAAAGTACAGCATATGGCAGCTCTTCAAACTTCTGACCTTTCAAGAGGGGGAAGCTCCCAACACCTACTTCTCGTGGCTCCCACAGATCCCACAGCGTATGGCGCTCATCGGGTCTCTAATGCCGCTTGGCTGAGCAGCAGGCTACCCCAAAATCGTGAGCTGGCTGGAGGTGGGGGAATAACTCGGACTCAGAGGCAGGAGGAGAGTTGAGGAGGGCACAGAGCCAGGGGTAGGATGCTGTAGGGGTGCAGCCTCGGCTGGGAGAGGGGTGGGAAGGGAAGAGTCCCCTCCTTGGGAGAATCTGAGGGACCACGGCAGACAGAGCTGGAGCACCTAGGAAATCCAGACTGCCTAGAGAGAAGAGCTGCTGCTTTCATACAAACCTTGACATTTCAAGCACAGAGACAAAGCCTTTAAAAAAAAAGAAGTGATTGCATGCAAGCATAACGAGTGGTCACTCTGTAACTCCCAGGCTACAGTTGCAGCAATTGGATGATTTGCCTACCAATGCATTTCATTATCTTTTATTGTAGAACTTTATGCTAAGTCTCCAGTAATAACTGATGTATTTGCAAGAAACTGAACAAGTTAAATCAAGCACATAACACTGCCTTTATGAAACTGAGACAAAGGTTGTATGCTAAGACAAAGCTCACTGCTGTGCCATTGCAAAATATCCTATGTTCACTGCTGTACTTGGAAGCTGCAAGGGAAATGCTTTTATTCCAAACAATGAGGTGGAAATAGGTGTTCAAGACTGGGCTGGATGGGACTTGGAGCAACGTGATCCAGTGGGTGGCATCCCTGCCCATGGCAGGGGGCTGGAACTGGATGGTCTGTCAGGTCCCCTCCAACCTGGGCCATCCTATGGTATGATGCCACGAAATGCAGCAGAAATTCCTCTTCACCAGTCCGTGTCTTGAGTGATGCCAAGTATCTCAAGCTCAGCACTCGGAGAGAAGGATGCTTAGGTTGGAGAAATGGTGAAGTGGTACTCTAGACGCTATCTACACGTGGCCACAAAACAAACAAACAAAAAACCACCGCCACTCTTACAGCCACACAGAGAACTAACCAGCCAGTAAAAACCCCCTAGAATTCAGAAACACAACCGATGTTATGATAAAGATGAGTAATGCTCTGCCTAGAGAAAATAGCTAGCCTGCAAAACAAATATTTTTAAAGCATCAATTGCATTTTAAAGTGCAATATGATTTCTCCATAGAAATATACATAAAAACACTTTCAAATGCAAAAAACTGAGTGGCAAAGAGTTACTTTTATTTTGGAAAGACAACTAAAGATGCCTGTAGTTATCCTTTAACAAGGCAGGGATGCGCTTTCCACCAGGCCACCATCCTAAGAGGTCAATGAGTTCCCAGTGTAAGCCTATTAGATCACCAGTATTGACAGCATGCAAGACTTGAGCAAGCTGTTGCTCAATTCATCACATCCTCTAATATGTTTTAAAGAGAAGAGCAAAAACTTAAGCTTTTTCTTTTCCAGAAGTAGCAATTATTTCTTTGCTGACCATGCAGATGAACAGCTGCAGTCTTTCCTCATCTGTGGGTAGACAAAGGCCGTGACCACAGGCTGTTTGCCATGAGATGACTTGGTGCCCACATGCAGCTGCCCCCAAATACTGCTGCCTGCTTAAGGAGGCCGACGGGCTCGAGCCCAACCAGCCAGCTGAGCAGAAAGAACAGAGCAGAGACACTGCAGTCACCCCACAGCCCCTCTGGGCAGCCCGTGCCAGGGCTCCGTCACCCGCCCAGCACAGCAGTGCTGCCTGGTGCTCAGAGGGAGCCTCCTGGGTGCCCGGCTGTGCCCATGGCCTCCTGTCCTGGCACTGGGCACCACTGAGCAGAGCCTGGCTCCGGCCTCTCTGCACCCTGCCTTCAGGGATTTAGGGACACGGATGAGATCTCACAACCACATCACACATGACCACACCTGCATAAATAAAGCAGTGCTTGCACACACACACGGCACAGCCACAGAAGTCCTGCTTCCAAGAAGAGTAAGTCAGGTGACCAGAAATTCTTGGTGTTTTGGGGAAACAGATACACAAGAGCAATCCAAACTGTATCAGGAAAGTGTTCTCCTTTACGGGATGCAAATGTAATTTCACCATTCCCACTGTTTGGCCACTCAAGATTTAATTTCGCAACCATGCCTGTAGAAGAGGATCCTTTCACTCCCTGTTCAGATACAGCCATGAGTAAAACCCACCAATCCTGCGGACATTGCTTTAGGATTGTTCCCTCAGTTACAGTCTCCTGAGGGAGAGGATTTTTTTTTTCCCCTCTTAAAAAAAAATGCAAATATCATGGAAAAATACAACAGCTGCCACTAGTGCTGAGGGTAAGTTCAGAAGCTTTCTTTAGAAATGCACTGTAATCTAGTATCTTGTATTTATTTCTGCTCTTTTTGGTGATGCAAGAATATGTTGTTATTAAGGAAATTACCCGGATTAAAAATCCTTTAAAAAAAAGGACAGAAAAATCACCTGTCTGGTTACCAAATTCCAGTCTGTAGCCACTTAAGGGTCTATCCCATTCTACTTTTACACAGCTTGCTAAAGGAAACCAAGAAAAGCAGCTTCCAACCTGCGCCTTCCAGCTCTACCAGTCAGTTTTTCCTCCAGATTGCAAACCACGATGTCGAAAGCCCCCTGCCACGCAGCAGGGTGGCTGCTGATCAGCTGCTCCCATCCACACCAGGGCAGCACGGAACACGCAGGTTTCTGCCACAAACTGGATGACGACAATTAGTTTAAGATCATTGCCAGAGGACATAGTTTCATTCCTTCCTTATTTTGATTTATTTACTCGTGAATTGAGGCAGAGACACCGACAAACAAATCCCTCTGGAGAGGAGAGAGGAGTTTCCGGTGGTACACGTTGGGGATTCGATCTCTTCCCACTTCCAGAATGAGTCACGCTGTCTGGGTGCTTTCTGAACGTGAAAATCTGAACTGTCTAATTAACTTTCCTTGTGACAATATTGGGCGGCCAGACAATGCCTACAACTGTACAAAGTGTACGCCGTCATGCTTAGCAAAGTACTTTTATTCAAATTTGTTCTGTCAGAAGAAAATCCGCTAACAAAACTAACATGGTTAAGTGGGGAAAAAAAAAAAAGTATTGTCTTCATTTAAATACAAATTTCAGAGACTTCGCTAGTCAACCTAACATCTTTTATCTGTGCCATGCTATTATTAAGAGTTTGAAAGGAGTGTCAGAGGAAAATAGGCTTCTCAAACTGTCTAGCGACACGGGCAGGTTGTGTTTCAGGTCATGCTGCTGGCAAGAGAGCTCCTTAATCTCCAGGGTTCCTGGACAGAGTTCAAGGTGTTGGTTGGACTCTGTGTAGCCCTAAATGGCTTCACAGGGCTATGCTTATTTGAGAGACAATTCCTGTGCCTGTACCACGCTGCTGCAGTTGTCATTTTGGACTGGAGCCTTCTCCGAGGGAGCTGCCAGCAGCGGATTTTCTGCAAGACTTTCAACTTTACAATTCACTCTCTACAGGGATGAAAAAGCCAAAAACAACATGTTAAGGTTCAAATTTTTTCCTCAGATTTTTAAAGTAAAGAATTAAGAAAGAGAAAGCAAATGTGGTTTGTTGAGACACACTTGGTATATAATTCTTCCCTGCTTTCTGGGGAATCTTTTAATAGCACTGACAAGTAGTAACAATAGCCAGATCATATAGTAAGCAGCTTACTGTAGCTGCAAACCCAAGTTCAAAAAGAAATAAAGAGGAAATAACTACCCAATCTGATTACCTGTCATCTAGGTAAGGATTTTCTTCAGGTCGCTGTATCCCAGAAATCAGGAGAACCGACCGGGAACTCCACACACTAAGCTGCAGACACCAATCTTTGAAATCCTAATTTTACGTATTAATAAAAATTTGGCCACTTTTGTTTAATAACCTAATATATCAGAAAGAGACAAACCATCTGGTAGTGATTTTAAACAATCTTTGTAGGAGTTCAAAGTTGCAGATTCATTTTGTTCTAAGCTCAGAAGGTTGCAACTTTTGAATTAGAAATGAACATTGCAGACCAGGTTTCCTCTATGTTTAGTCCCCACTTTATCATTTTATTTTTAAAATTGGAAAGCAAACCAGATTTTTGTCCTGTGAGTGAATACCTGTGCATATTCCTTCATTAAAGTTAATACATTTTGATTCTTTTTGGCTCCCCGAGCTCACATTTTCCTTTCCTGAGTTCCACCCTCATACAATGAGTGATGCTGCCTTTAGAATTAAACAATTTAGCTTGGAAGGGATCTCCAAAGGTCAACTAGTTCACCAAATCCCACAAAACTCTAAGCAAGGGCAACTACAGCAGGTCGCTCGGCACCTTTCCCAGTCAAGCTTCCAGTCAATTTCCAGGGCTGGATATCCCACAGCCTCCCTAAGCACCTACCCAAGCGTTTAAATGCTCTCATGGGGAGAACATTTCTCTTTATGGCTAGCGAGAATTTCTTCCCTGTGACTTGTGACTGCTGGCTGTTGTCCTTCTGGTCCATTCCTCTACATGGAGCATTTCTGTCTTCTCCACACCCTCAGGTTATACAGCTGAAGAGAGCCATAAGACTCCTGAGCCTTCTCTTACCAAGGCCACAGAAATTCGGGTTTCTCAGCCTCTCCTCGTATGTGAGGTATTTCAGCCCCCTGCACATCCCTGGAGCTGCCTTCTGGATTTGCTCCAGTCAGTCCACGTCCCCCATCCTTCAGAGACCAAACCTGGGCATGGCGCTCTAAGGGTGATGTCCCGAGTGCCAACAGGAGGCAGACAACCACCCCGTGCATCTGCTGGCTGTGCTCTTGCTAACGCAGCACGCTTGGCCTTAGGACCTATTTCTGCAACGTCATCTTGAGCTTCACTTTCCACAAAAGCCTTCCTCGTCAGCAGATGAACTGAACTCTACTCACAATGCCTGCTGGAGGCATCTGCTTCCAGCGCTCCCCCAGGCACACCGCTGAGTGCTTCCAAGCTGCACACGAGCAATTCAGACTGCTTTCTGCTCACAGAGGGCGGAAAGATCAGTGTCAAGATGATGACACTTGTCTCATGAATGAGTTTGCTCACCTGAGGTCCCTCTTGTACACATCAACAGGTAACTGATCTGTATGTGCTACCCTCTGAACCCAGCAAGGGGTTCTCATCAGCAGAGGAATGAAGCCAGAGCCACCTCTGTGCATCTGTACTGCCTTGATGGAACTAAAAACTCCAGAGCTTGGTGTTTCATGCTGTTCCGTGTGAGCTACAGGCTGCTACCACGGCCTCGCGAAACTTTGGAGCTGCCAGCTTTGTGAAGCAAATCAGACAGAGGCCTGTCACCAAACGCTGAACAGAACCTTATGGGGAGGCCACACACGGGACTAACAAAGCCAAAGTGCAATTACGCTGAGTCTTGGAAAAATGCTGGCTGCCCAGCTCCTTGATGCAAACACACACAATTTCTGTGAGGAGCTACAGTTTAATTTCTCCTATGTTATAAGGGCAAAGGAAGCTTACCAAGTTCCACTCCTAACACAAGGGATGGCCCATTGGGAGAAGAAGGCAGAGTTCAGAAGAAACAGTCCAACTTTGAATGAGTTTTGGAATTAAAATCAAGCTGCAGCTAGTGGGCACCACACTTGTGAGCCACACAGCCTCTTGCTGGAACCAGATGAAAGCTCTGCCAATGCACACACGATATCAGATGTTATTTTCCAAGCGATGGCTACCATAAGAAGCTATTACCAGACAACTGATCAAGCGGCTGGGGAAACAACAGCTGAAGCAGAAAACTCTGATTTTAATCTGACAGCAGCCAGCGCGGGCTGTAGCTCAGCAACAGCTTCAGGAAGCCCAGACTGCAATCCGACCGCGACAGCGCTGGAAACAGCAGCTAGCCCAACTCACAGCTCAGCTGGCGGCCCGGCGAGGGGAGCAGCAACAACCCTGGAGCAGCTGCTATAGAGACTCGTGAACCCAGGTGCACTGCCCTGGGCGTTTGTAAATCACAGCCCTTCCCCAGCCAGGAGAAACCATTTCCAGAGGTGTGTCTGGCAAGACGAATCATATGTATTGGAATTATGGCTGAAGGAGAAATTACCTCAGGTTTATAACTCAGTTGAGCATTTTGAGCTGGGGAGGGCCTTAGGGAATGTTGCTGCAGCCTGTGAGGCCCTCAGACCCTCCACTTTGATGGAGAACTCCATGAAAGCAGTGATGACACTTTACCAGGTAAATATCTCACTGAGGATGAGGCTATGCTTCGATGCCTTGTGCAGGAAGGAGTAGGTAACTCCGTGGGTCAAATAACTTCACAGATGACGAAGGATTCGGAGCCCTATCAGAGACAGGGCACCAGTTATAACTAGGAACGCAGAGAGACAAGGGTTTAAAGATACCAGCTACTTGTGTAAACAGAAACTTGCAGAACAAAAGGAAGCTAGGGAAGTAATTTCTATTAGCGCAATTGCAATCTGTCCCTTCTCTGAGCCAAAACCACCAGATTTAATTAGTCCTAAGATAAAAGGACCAAGTGACAGCAGAGCAGTAATTTTCAACTCATCGCAAAATCTCAAAGTTTCATGGCATTTTCCTTCAAGAACTGATCCATTGATTTCTCAACTTAACACATCACTTTTTATAGCTCATATGGGAAGACTGCTCACAGAAATGGTCTTTTAGGAACTATCATGACAGTTTTAGTCAATTACCAAAGCACTCAAGGATTTCAGCCTCTTGCCAGCCTCAGAGCTTGAGCTACTTGCAGCAAGCAGACTGCTTTTCAGGTATTTGCAGTAACTTGTGTCACATGTGCTGCCGAACACCTCCAGCTTCACTAACTTCCCCAATCTTTGGCACCGCTCTGCAACTTTCAACCACCTCCTAAGACATTCCTTTCATACCAGAAGAAATTGCTGTATTTCTTCCTCTGGGAGGATTACTAATGACCATTAAATTCTCCTTCACTCCCGACCACTTCATGTCTTGCTTTGTCTCTTCCTCGCTTTTCCCTGCTTTTCTCAAAATACTGACTTCCACATAAATAAAATCCCTCCTCCTGAGCACAGCTTTACTTTTCTCTCTATCCAGACTCAATAAAACTATTTTATGAGAATGCATTTTTAGTTTGTACAATTTTGCTGAAGTTTTATGCATATTTATCCTGAAAGAACTCAGACCCAAATCACTTTGGCTTAAAAACAAAGGTGTTGGGAACTATATTTTCGGAAGGTGTATGATGTTTATTCATTTAAAGGACAAGGGACCCTGGGGATGGTCTAGCATTCTGTTCTGCATCTGTATCTACCTACATGTATACATAAACAGACATCTTCCCTCCCAGGGAGGAGGATGACGAATGTGAAATCTTCTTTTAGTGTTACACTGGTATCATAAATCAAGCAAAAACAACCCCAACACAGCCAGGCACTCAGGAGAGGTAGTCTGGAGCGTGACTGCGCAGCGAGCCTGGCAGAAGGAATCCTGCAGTTGCAGAGGGCGAGCTGCTTTTCTCCCTGTGACAAACTTCAGAAAGGTTCTTGTCTGGACCTTTCCAGCTGGGACTACAGATGCACAAGTCTGCAGATTCAAGCAGTCTCTTAAAACATTCTCCTTCTGCAGCTGTGATACAAGAATGAGTAGAGCTGGAGTTTACCAAAAAGCTGAAACAACTCCTTAACCAGGGAGCACAATACCCTTGCAGAGTGGCAAAGTGTCAAGTCCAGCTCTTCACGCTAAGCAAAACACAGTTTGAATTTTTGGTAGTGCAAGCCCAGCCTTTTCACACAAGAAACATGATACAGCCTGAAGTAATCAATCCCAAAACAGGTAAAAAAGGGAAATGCCTAGTTCATCTAAGCAGAAAGCCCCAAGGTTATGAAAACCTTCATCAGTTTCTGCTCATCAATAAACAACACAGCACAGAACATGCTTTTTGACACAGCCTCTGGCTGCTATATAACAGTATTTAAAGATGCAGCGCTTTAAGGGGGAGACCATCCATATGGTATTTTCCCCCTCTAACCCTGCAGAGCTGCCTATTCCACAAGATATGTAGAGGAAAAACACGGAGAGAGGGAAAAAACATAAAAGGAGGAGGGGGAAGAGAAGGAAAATTTGAGAGATGCCTCATAACTCTAGCAGGAAGGCAATTATGAGCAGATTACAATTGATTTTCTATCTGCGTGCTAACTGGAAATGAGCAGGGGGTAAGAAAAATGACTCCACTTCTTGTTACACCATCTTACCTCTGCTGTTCTTATACACTACTTTCAACATACAAATTAGTGACTAAAAAGAAGTAAGTGTCAATTCTTTCAAGCATAAAAAAAAGTCTTGTTCAATTAATGGGTTACTCACTTCAAACATATGGCAGTGGTAGTACATTCACTGTAAATATTTAGCATGCTTGAAGACGGGAGGCATTTTAAACATAACTGCGCAGCACACAGTAAGAAATATCACACATAACTATACGATAACTTCAGTCCAAGGACTGAAACACTTCAGTCTTTTCACAGAAACAGCTCACTACAGTCTACGTACAACATCTGTTTCTTCTGGTACCTCGGATATAGTTTCCAGTACAACAAGACACAAAAAAAGAAGTGCAACCACCTTCATCACTAATAAGGCCACTGGCCAGCTGCCATGGCAACAAACACTACGGAAATGAGTGAAGGAGGAAATATCTCCTGAATAACAACAACAAAAAACCCACCCCTATCCACTACTTCCTAGCTACATGCAGGACATTGCTTCACCAAACAGCAGAAGCAACAGAATAATATTTACAGAACAGGAAAAAGGTAAGTTTTACGCCATAACCTGGCATATCCCATTTCCAGTCTTCCCTTTGATTACTGTAACTCTCTACCCCCACCTCTTTTACTACTGTCATTCTTTTTCAAGTAGCTCAGCTTTTAAGAATTAATTAAAATACAGGCTGAGATCCATGGTTAGTAGCGGAGGCTAGACAATTCAGATTAGGATCTGTTATAATTAAAAAAAGAAAAGCATAAGCAGTGAAAAATCCACACAGACTTGGAAGTACTGTAGGGTAGGTTTGTTTTTTTTTTTTTACTATAATTATTTTTTCCAAAGTATTTGTTCAAGCCAGAAGTCACAGATCTGATGCAGAAAATACTGAACAAGACTGTGACCTCATTAATGTAAGAAATCAACCTAAATGACATGTGCCCTTTCTATCAAGCACTGAGTACTTTTTTTTTTTTTTAAATCTGTAGCCATTTCTGAATACAACAAAAACTGACCTGAGCCAAGCAAGTTCCTCATTTCACTTCAAGTTGTCTTTTAATTGTCCTGTTTCAGCTTGCTTAAGGAGTATTTTCATCTACGTGTAGGATATGTAAGATGTCAGTGAAGAAAATCTTGTAAGGTTTTTCACTTACCTATGTAAAATTAAAGAGCAAATGGTTTCATCAAATATTGAACTGAGCCTCCAGTCTTTTCAAGTCTCATCAACTGCTAGCCTAGTTTCCTTCAAAGAAATAAACAGCACTGGAATACCAATAACATTTCAAACAGTTGGTACAATCCAGAAAAGCGAGCAGTGAAATCACTCCAGTGGACTGTTACTCAGCTCACTGTTCAGCCTAAAATGCACAATACACACAGATGAGTCAAGTCTAGATAATCCTTCATGCTCTGTCTAGTTGAATGTATAGGGCTGGTTTTTAAATTGCATACCTTAAATAAACTCCATTTTTCTTTGCATTTATAAGTCCACATTTCTTTAAAGCTTTTCGAGTTGGAGATGCCTAAAAATTCTGGGGGCAGTTCTGTCTACCAGGACCTCATAAATTATAGCTGCTTTTCTAAAAGGATCAAAAATGGTAATGTTTATTGTATGACCACTGAGTAACTGCTGTCCTATAGATATCTAGTGTAGCAGTAACAGTGAAATGGGCACATTGGACTGAAACCATAAATATGGCAAGGTTTGTAGGGAGATGAGATTGGTTCAACTACCTCCACTAGAAAAAAGAAAGTTTTTGATTTCGCGACACTAATAGTTCTAATTAAGGAAAAAGAAAGGGAAGGGAGAAGGCAGAGGAAGCACATTTACCTGTAGAAGTAAAGTAAGCATACTAAAATAGCAGTGAATTTGTTTTGGACTAGGATAAATTCTCTTCAAAACGACAGCACGCTTGAATTCTGATCGGTTCACTACCTCACACTTTGTCGAGGTGGAATCTCATCTCACAGCACCCTCACACAGAAAAGAAAAAAAAAAAAAAGAAGTTTGTTAAGCTTTCTCTAATGCTGTCCCAGAAGAAGGGTGACAGTAAGCTCATAGGATTGCTCTATGGGCACATGCCAGGTGGCAAAGCAACGGTGGAGGAGGAAGCATCCCGGCACTCTGCAAACCCAGACATGAATGGTTTATTTTTTTTCCAGATCAAAAGACTGTACAGCCAGCACTTTCTTAAGCATGTTGTTAATTGTGTAACACGAAGATCCCCAGTTATGAACCACGGCTCCACTGTGCAAACACAGACCAAGAGGGCAGGACGCAGCACTTTAATGCTTCTCCAGGTGAAGCGAGACCCGATATTTAGCGGGATGGCTTGACGTGCTGAAGCCAACTTTCAGCAGTAATATCCGACGTGGGCTACCTGGCCTTACCAAAGGCACAGGACTGCCATTCGGGCCCGGCTGCTGTCTGTGGGTGCTGCACTCACACAGCAGCCGAGTTTCCTCGCCCGAGGGCGTTACAAAATAACGTCAGGGCGCCACAAACGCAGCGGTACATGCCCGACGTTACTCATACCTGTCTGCAGAATCAAGTCCAAAACACACAGGTGAATGGAAATCATTATTATATTTTCCTTTCTGAAGAGAAGCTGCACCTGGAAAGGCTGGGCTGGACCTGGCCGTGGCTCAGGCGGTGCTCTCTGAGGTGGCCGCCTGCCGCGGTTCTGCCTGCACAGCCACAAGCGCGTAGAGAAGCCCCCCGCCACCCTGACTTATTAAAAATAATAATAAAAAAGGGTGACGGCGGGGCGAGCAGAGGACCCGAACCAACTTTCTAATTCCCTCCGGGGCTCCGAGACGAGCAGGGGCACCCCGGGACCCCCGGGGCTGAGGGACGGCGCCGTCTCCTACCTCCACCGAGCTGCTCCCTCCTCCTCCTCCTCCTCTGCCGGCCGGGCGACCTCGGGGAGACGCCGGGGGCAGGGCCGTGTTTACCCGCACGCCGGCCCGGCCCCGGCAATGGGCGGCCCCGGGGCCGCCGCCATGGCCGCTGCCACCGCCCCCCTCTCCCCGGCCCCCCCCCGGGCACCCACCTGGCCGCCATGCGGGGCGGGGGGCGGCTCGCCCCGCCAAGGTCGCCGCCACCCCGCCCACCGCCACCGCCCGCCTCATGGCCTCAGCCCGCCTGGCCCCCGAGCCCAGCCGCCGCCTCTTCCTCTTCCTCCTCCTCCTCCTTCTTTCTCCTCCTCCTCCTGCCGGGCGGCACCTGCCGGTGGGTGCCATGGTGCCGCCCCCCAGGCACCCGCACACGTCCCCCCGGTGCTGGAGGGGAGGCTCCGTCATGAAGCCCCCCGTGATGAACCCCCCCGTGATGAACCCCTCCGTGATTAACCCCACTGTGATGAACCCCACCGTGATTAACCCCACCGTGATGAAACCCCCCGTGATGAACACCCCCCGTGATGATGAACACCCCCCGGCCATGGCAGCAGCACGGCCTGGGCTTGTGGTCCTCCATGCCCACCCGGCTGCCACCAAGCCAGAGCTTTGCGAGCGGAGCCTGCTCGTACCTCGCTGTCCTGGTCTTCCCAGGCGGAGGAGCAGGGCTGGGAGAGCTCTTTGGCAAGGACGGCAAAGGGAGCCTGTGGCGGAGTTGGTGGAAAGCTCAGTTTCCGTCCCATGTTCTAAAACAGGGGGTGTTTCCTCCCACCCCACTGTTGCTGCTGTGGAGATGAAGTAATCCATCTACCTCGCGCCATCCCACGGTGCCTTCTGTGTTCGTGCAGACGTGGCTGCGCGCCAGGGAGGTGGTTAGAGGAGATGAATGAAGCGCCGATGTTGTGGTTGTGGCTTGCTAGCTGGCTGAGCGTACACACGGCACGACACAAAGCCACTGCTACTCACAGGCGCAAAGCGTGTGTGTAAGCGTTACTCACGCACAGAATCAGCCAGGTTGGAAGAGACCTCCAAGATCACTGAGCCCAACCTCTGACCTAACACTAACCAGACCTCCACCAAACCATATCACCAAGCTCTACATCTAAACGTCTTTTAGAGACCTCCAGGGATGGTGACTCAACCACTTCCCTGGGCAGCCCATTCCAATGCCTACTCGTATCCTACTACTGAAGTTTGTAAAGAATTCTTCAGGCACCCAGCAGAAAATGTGCTGCATTTCTGAATTTTGCATGTAATAAACCCTATGAAGAAATATCAGCCTGAAACGCTGTTCTTCAGGTTTCATTTTTCCAATAAAATGTGATAAATTTACTTGACAGAACATTCTAGAGAAACAGATCCGTGTCACTTTCCTGTATATATTTCAATAAAGCTTCCCTCATAGAACTGACAGAGTCTATAAGCAGGATGGCATTGTCTATTCAACGCGTTCAGCACAAGATCTGCTCAGTTTCTCAGTGTATCACATCCCCAGTTTGCTTGAGCATGATTTGGAAGGTTCAGCTTGGTGCAAGGGGCTGGCTGTGGTTTACTCCTTGGCTGTGCAGAAAGTCTGAGACCTCTACTAAAAAAAAAAAAAAGACAATGCTTGTACCCTTAGTCCCAGACATGCTGATGCTGTTTCAGAAATGTCAGAGTGGTGTCCAAATGCAACTAACAATATTAATTTTATAGAGGAAATTAGTGAAAGCAAGACTAAGGAATTAGACACTTGCAATTCCACTTTGCTGCTTATTATGGAAGGCTTTGCTGGTGATTGAGGAGTGTATGAGTCAGTTAAAAGCACTGCGGCACTGAAGAAAATGATTCGTAATTATCAGAAGAGGGAGAGACTTGAATTGATTTTGAAACTACTTAAAGTCACAAGAGAGTTTCACATTAACTTTTTCCTTAGTAAACTCTGGTTCCCAGTGAGTTTGTCTAAAGGATCTTTTTGACCTCGTCTTCTCTTTCAGATTATGTAAACCTCCAGTACCTTTGTAACTGATGAAAATGTGCTCACTGTAAGCATGAGTTAAGTTTGCTCAAACGTGAGTTTAAATGAAATGAGCTGCTTGATGTCACTGGATTGCTTATTGGCAAAATCCCATTTCCTCCCTATTGACTTAAGTAGCAAGTTGCTTCCAAATTAAAATAGAAGTGTGGGAGTCAGAATCCAAGATTTTTCTGTCCCATGATCGCAACCCCCAAATATAGCAGCAGTACCTGGGAACGTTGTAGGAGTTAAAAGTCTTCGTCTTGGTAGGACAGTCAGGTGCTGGGAATTTATACGCCTCCAGAACTTCCGATGCCTCCCTTCTCCCTCTGAGTTTGCTTCCCCATTACATGCTCACTGTTCTTCCCACACCACTGTTTTTCAGGTTTTGCTGAAACTCAGGACTTCAGTAGCTCGTCCGGGACTTTCACATGTTGCACAACCCTTTCCTGGTACGTAAAGGGAGGAAAAAGTTGTTATTAATAACTGACAATGCACTCGTGAGCATAATCAGTGCTTAAAAAAAGAAGAGGGAAAACAGGACCAGCTGCCCCGTGCTGGAACCAGAATCTCCTTCATTTCCAGAATCTGTACTTACATCACTATAATGTAACGATACAGAATCAGATAAGTTTATAAACAGTATGTTTTCTGTGAAACCATCTGTCTTCCTGTGCATGTTAACTCTAATTTCCCTTGTCTTTATGAATCTCTGTTAAGTCAGGTTGGCTTTAGCAACTTTGCATCACAGCTGCCTTTTTTTTTTTTTTTCAAATAAAAAAAATACATATTAATATTTTCAAAGTTTGTTTACTTTTTCAATTGTGCTGTGCATTTATTCTGCCATTTCTGCTCTCCCCATACTAGCTACGGCTGTTTTCCATGACTTGAATATTTTCTGCTGTTGGATAGTAAATGCCTCTTTCATTCCTGCAGTTGTCCAACAAGCTGCCCTCTAAGTGAACCTACTCACCCTCTTAACCTGGGAAACCTGTGTTACGTGCCTTCCTCCACACCACTACACTTCTTTGATTTAGTCCCTGCTCAAAACTCTTGATCCGGCTTGTTCTCATCAGTTGTGCCAGAGCAGATAATGGATTTCAACAGAGTGATTGTTAGTGCTTGCTGACTTTATTTTATAACTAACTGCTGCTTTACTTTCAGATCCTAAATGGTAAGTCTATTTCCTGCTGGCCACCTGCTTCAATATTTTGAGTACCTTTTGCAAGTAGACCCTCATCCTTTCTTTTTTTTTTTTTTTTTTTTCTTCACTATAACACAATTGTGGTCCCTGGTTCCAAACTGGCATCCTTAAAACATCTAGATGATTCGTCAGCTCTTGCTTTAGCCTCCCACTGTCATTGTTTTCCCTTTTCAGCCACCACATTTTGTCCAGTTACTTTTTCATCTCAGATCCTTGTGCTGCTTCTGCCATGATTTGCGTAGAAAAGCCTACATACTTGCTATGACAAAGCTGCTACGACAATGTACATTTTGTTAATTTATGTTACCACAGCAACTGAGTCATGCAAAGATGTAATGTCACGTTGTTTGATACTGTACCTTCGTATGCTCATAAAAAGCTAGGGAAACGGGGTCTGTGCAGAGCTGCTGTGGAACTGGGGCTGAAATAGTTAGATAACCATACCTACGGAGTAGGTGTCAAGGGTTTGTGTCAAAACGGATGCACTGCATAAGATCCTCTAGGAATCTAGATTTGGTTCTGTTCAGTTCTGGGAGGAATTACAGACATGCTGGAGGAGGGGGTTAGGTCTTGACAAATACAAAACTGGTCTAAAAAGCAAGGCATAACTTGTGGGGGGGGGATAAAAGCAAGCTGCTTAATTTAGACAGGTATTAAAAACTGCACAAGCTCAGGAAGAAGAACAACTGGTGAAAAAGTAACCGTTCAGAAATAAATCTGGAGTCTACTGTAAGCCATGAGCTTAACGTGAATCAGCAACGTGCTTTTGTGGCAAAAAATTGTAAACATCCCAGGAAGATGTACGTGTGGGACGCGATCCATGCGGTGTGCAGTATTGGTAGGACATCATCAGAAGGGTTGGTTTTGTGCACCATAG